GCTTTTTTTTCACTCACAGCAACCGGTCCAAATGTGTCTACAGCGAGGCTTGAACTTGGGACTCTGGGCCTCCCCAGATCCAAAGTCCACGATCACAAGCGAACGCCAGACACACAGGACGCTTACGTATGTGAAAATTATTATATTTAGAAGAGTATATTTTTGCCCATCGTTTCGGCAACCATTTTCGGCTACCTTTCTACTCCCACACAGGCATTCCTCGTAGGCACAAAGTAGTACTTTTGTGTCCTCTGTTTTGGTAGCAAGGGTGTCCGCCAGAATGACACCCTTTTCTAATTCTGCCAGGTAGTATTTTTTATCCACCAGAATCCGCACCCTTTGCAAGGGTAACGAGTCGTTCCCCTTCTACTATCTACGTCGCGGCAGTTGCGCCAAAGTGGCCACGTAGGCCGGTATGCGAATTCCTTGCAAAGTCTTTTGCGCTCGGTAGAGACCTTCCAAGATCTCCAAAAGTATTTGTGTGGTTCTTTGTTTTCCTAGCACGTATGCGACCATACCCGCAGCTATGTAGAGATACATCTATATACCTATGGACCCACGGAATACCCCTATGGATCCATAGGTACCTAGCTATGTTCGAACCGTATTCGTAGATATATATGGCAACGCCCAAAATACTATCCGAGGAAGAAATCGCAGGATTGTTGGAAGATCGACGAAATGGCGTAGGGCTGCAGAAGGTAGCCAAAAAGTACGGCATAGGCATACCAAAGATACGCAGGATAGAGCGAGAGAATGGTCTGGAGGTAGCAATCCCCGAAAAACCACCTACTACAGACCTACAGAAACATTTCCTAGAAGTGCAGGATTCCTTTGCTATAGTCTTGGACGATCTCCAAAAAGCTAGAGAAGAACTCCGAGACGCAAAGGAGGAATTGCTAGCTAAAATGGAACAAAAAGAGGAACCCGAAGAGGATTCCTTCGAAGAAATAGAGGGCGAAGTGGAGGAAGTATCCACAAAAATAGACTGGCAAATAGCYRGCAATGTRCTATTTGCAGTCGTAGGAATAGCTGCCGTCGTTTGGGCACACAGCAAGCCACCCAAAGTAGTCTACTACAGACATCCAGCGGAGGATACGAAACCGCAGAGAAATTCTAGGATTCCGGAGATGGAGTAGAGGCGAACGCCCTTTGCAGGCCTAGGATTCCGGAGTAGAGACGTGCACCAGTCTGTCTTTCTTCTTTGCCTTGGTAGTCTTTTCCCTACCTATTTTGCAGTATAGCGGTGGTGGAGACGTCCAGTCTATTTTCTGCTCCTCCAGAAAGTGTCCCCAGACTGGAGTGGTTGCATGTTCTATCGTGCAGCCCTCCAAAACGCACTCCGAGCATTTCTCGGAAAGGAATAGGATTGTCCTTTCTTTTTTTCTGTAGGTGGTTTTGGCGTATCTCCAGCATTGGTATTCGCCTGGATGCATATGTAGCGCCTGCACGCATTCTTTGTTTGGTGGCGCCGAAACTTCCAGTAGTCTTTCTGGATTTTTGGGAGTGTCTATTTTCCTAGCCAACTCGTAGTACGTATCCAAACCGGGACCTTCGGGTACGAAGACAGTTGCTACGTTGTTTTTCCACTCCACCAATATTTCTTCTCCGGGTATGGCAGTGCGTATGTTGCAGTTGGCTTCAAACTTTCCAGCCGCGCACGCTTCCAATAGGGCTTCCGTGGCCCATGCTACAGAAGTTTCTCTATCCCTTCGCAATACTACGCGGTGCCCTCTTGCCAACCAGTTGGCATCCAAGTCTCTGGGGATCGCATATCCWAGTATCTTGTAGTCTCCTGCAGGTATTTGGTCCATCCTATGTACTTTGGCCCTAGGCGTCTCTGGGCCAAACGGGCTTTCCTCTCCAAAGAACAATCTACGCAGATTGTCTGTCCTTCTGGAAATCCTATCCAATAGTTTCCTATATTTCTCCAATTCTTTCTCTATGGCTTTCCTGTCCTCTTCCTTCTGCCGCAGGATGGACTGCCTTTGCTCCGACAGTTCTGCGTGGTATCTTTTCGTAGCTTCGACCCACTCGTCTCCTTCCAAATCGTCCCATATGTCTTCCAATCTTTGCTGTCGTTTTCTTTTGGATAGGAAGGATATTCTGCGGGAGGAAGGCACTTCCAAAATGCCGAACGGACTCTTTTCTACTCCGATCCTTTGTGCCTTCTTTGTGCGCCAAACCCACTCTATGTGTTCCGTTGGGGGTAGCATCGTGGCAATGGTGGGGGCATTTGCATGCACTCGAGTGGGAAACTTGGACTCCGCTAGTATGGTTGGGGAGTCCTTCGTGTAGCAGCGCAGTGGAGCTATTTCCACCGGGTCTGTTCCTAGGATATCCACGCGGAATATAGGACRTTTTCGGAACCCAAACTCTGCTATCGTCCAAAGTACGCATTGTTCCCACTTTTCGTTGCCTCGAACTCGCACACCGGCTATGCGCCGTGTTCCCAAATTGCAGTACCACGCTAGGAATATTTCTCACGTCTCTTCGCAGCAAATGCAGCAGCATCTATCCAAG